ATCGTTCCCGGCAAGGTTTTTAACTGCTACGTGTACTTCGCCAACCCTTCCGTTCCTTCTTCGACTCCATTCACTTTCGTCGAATTTTGAGTTACAGCGCATGAGACGAGATTTAAACGACAGCATTTTAATGAGACTGCCACCGGACGCGCAGAAGCGAGGGTGGACGACGAGCAGGAAGACGCGACGTCGACGAAACAAGGATTCCGAATGGAGTAGCTACCGATTTTAGAAGCTATAAGTTAACTCCGACGCGCAATTATCCCCCCTTTAGCCGTCAGCGACCCTCTCTATCATCGTTCGCCACGGGATTCCTACCGTGATTCGATCCTGCAGGGTTATATCTTCTGAAAATGACAAAAAAGAAGAGGAGAACCGCGGAGCGAGCAGGGCTTTCCGGGACCTGCCGTTCACGGGCTTCGCCCTTTTCAAAAAGACCATTATTTCGAAATTGTACAAGTACCTCGATATTCCCTATTTTCGCTCGCGACCGAGCGAGAGATCCGCGCGCGTTGACTTTAAAAGAACTGCGAAAATTGTTAAATTTTCACTACGCGCGGTATGTGCTTGGTTTCTCTATTCAACAGGTATATCCAGTTCTCTATTTCGTCGACAGAGTTTATAAAGGGAGAAAGAGAGGAAGATTTCATGCTCATGAGGCATTACTTTAGCCGAGGAATTTTCTAAAGAAACTTTCCTCTCTTCTCAAAGTGGTTAAAATAAAACGTCAGAAAATTATCAAACGGTTCTACCTCCAAGCGCCTGCAAGTTTGACGCAAACAATTTGTGCAGCCCCTCTCTAATGAATTATAGGAGCAGGCGATCTTTGTAGGTATCATTCCGCCCAATTACTTCGTCGAAAAATTCTTGAATATGCATTTTTTTTTGCATTGCTCGATTCCAATTTAAATGGTGTTTGGTTACATCATTGTTAAAATTAGCCTACGCGAGGCAGCACATTTTGGTCATCCACGATCCAACTGAACTGAAACGGCAGTATCCTTGAACACGCCGTAGCGTGACTCGTGCGACTGATATCGGCGTGCAAAGTAAAGGCTTTGACCGTGGCTACGTATGTAAATATACTTTGCGGCGATGCCAACGCGACGTCGTCCCTGGACAAGGGCTGCCTATATCGATCTAGTAGCGCACCGCCTCCGAGTCTCTTTACTCCTCGAAGAAGAAGAAACAAGTCGGGTCCGTCGAGGATTCGGAAAAAGATGACGACGCGTCTATTCGGATACCCTATGAACGGATCGGACCGCAATCGGACCAACTTTCGCGTTCCTTTACATGTTATTTCTTATTCACACTACAGATGACGAATATTTGCATTTTTTAACCTGATTCGTCGAAGGTAGAAGCTTAGGGATGTTCGGATAACACTCTAATTATGAATTTCCAATTTTTTCGGGTAAAGCGATACAAGCTTCTGGCTCGGTGATTCGAACGGGCGCTCGATTAAAATTAAACGAGGCCGGGTGATCGATCGACGCACGGTTTTTTGTGGCACATAGCACTGTGTGCCGACGAATCGCGTCCTATTTACGGTCGACTCGTAGGCAACGCGAACGGGCGGTCGGCAAGACCGAGGGTCCGGTGTAAAGGGCTAAAAAATAGGAGACGACGATGACGACAACGACGTTGCAAGTAGATACGTACATTCGTCCGTGCGCGCAGGGGTTTGGTGTATCCATCTGGAAAAACGGCTGAAACGGCCACAACACTTTACCCTGTGCTTGCGTCATTACGCTCGCGCACCTTTTCTTTCGCACTTGCCCGTCTAATTGCTTTCGCTTACACGCCGAGTGAGGGCAGGGAGTCGCCGGCGCGTCACGTGCACGACAAACAGTTTTCAATTACTCAAAACCAAGCCTCTGGAAAATTTCCCTTCTTTCCCCCTTTGTCGAACACGGAATCGTATAGAACGTACCTTTTCATTTCGTTCCTCCGCGTCTTCTTCCGCGAATCCACAGTTTACAATAACAGTAACGCGGCGAGATTTCATTGTCTTTTAACTTTTTACGGTCCGTTGCGTTCATCGCGAGATAAAAAGGTATAACACGCGACTCGAGGGCAATCGCGTTATCTCTCGATAAGACTGCATCGTGAAAACGTGTCAGAGGAGCTTTGAAGAGCAAAGGTTGAACGCAAAGTTATTTAATTACAATGTGGAAATTTCACGCGAGACCGATAGCGGATGCGCGTTGCGAGGTTCACACGGCGATTAATCGTACGATTGATCGCGTACGGGCCAGAGTCTCGACAGCACGCGACGACGATCGACGTATCATCGGGTCAAAGGACAACGAGAGACTGACCGATCCGGCGGTATGTCGTCGACGACGGCACTACGGACATCGTTCTTTGACAATAAAACGTGACGCACGTTCGAAACAGAGAAAACCCGCAGTTATGTCCAGCGTGCCACGGCTGTTGTAACTATGACACGAGAGCAACCCGTGACGGGAGCGGCCTTCCGGGTGAAACCGGATGCTCGTTCGATGTCTATTACGCCTCGCTATACAACATTGTGCAATGTCGCTGAGATTCGTTGAAATTTATTTGGAACCCGAAGAATCGTGGACGTTCGTTTAACTTTGCGCAAAAATGTCGTTCCCACGTCTTTTTAAATACGAATTTAGCGCTGGATTCCTCATTTCGCGTCGGTCAAAGGCGTCTTCTCTTCTTTCCTCGTTTTCATTTAACCCGACGTACTCCTTCGCCCCGTCCCTCATTTTCTCTTTAACATGGCGTATTTTTCGTTCGCTTTCTAGACGTTATAGACTCTTGAAACCGTACAACCCGTTTATTATACGAAGCCCGTAGGCATCTCGCGTCTTCTTGGCGATTCAATCAGCAAGTGTTGGAAAAAAGTGTTCTCCCGGCCTCGTCTCGGGTCTCCCTATCTAGAAAAATTCGTTCAGACCATCGGAAGGGGCGCACTCGTTACAAGGGGGGACGGACTTGTTTTCGCCCAACGGTTATTTCTTCATTTTCCTGGACGTCCATTAGCTTATCGAACAAAAGGAGAACGTAATATACAGCGGACTAATTCATTTGAGCGCATCGACTGCGGCTATTCTGTTTTCTTCCCTTTTTTTTCATTTTCATCGACCGCGGAGCCACGATGAGAAATGTTGAAATTGGTCGAGCGGACGAGGAAGATCCCGTGATACCGAAGCTCGGACTTGTCTGTTGTGCACACTGTCACAAACTTGACTGACAATAGATCGAACTGGCGCGCGAATGGCCGGCAGGAAGCGCTTCCCATTTCGTTTGTGAATAGGCCACGTACCCGCTCACACTTTTCGAGTCCTCGTGTTACGTACGTATGCACGTACAGCTGCATACGTTGGAGGAACGTAGCGAACCGGATCGGCCTAGAACCACGCTTGCTCCGGGACCTATGCGGCGTAACAAAAAAATCGGTCATCCGATTTGATCATGATCGGAAGCGTTCACCATTCACGGAGACCAAATCGATCGCGAAACCGTTCGATTTTCGCTTCGCAGTCTCGCTTTTCGCGGTTGAAAGTCGCGCCGCGCGCATAAAATGTCGCGGATTTGCATAACGTCGCGCGCGTACTGAATCTCGATCTTTTTCGCGGGAAATTCACACACACGTGCACACGCAGCCGACGAGTGGAAAAAGAGTCCGGTTGAAAAGTAGCGATTCGAACTGGTGACGCCGCGCGGACTTTTTAAATGCAAACTTGATCGCATGAATAAAAGATTTTGGCAAAGGGGCTCCAAGTACACGAATGCCGAATGCGATCTGACTGCAGCCTCTAGCCGCGTTACCAGCCGTAATTGCCGACGCAGAGCGAACACGGATTATCACACCGCACACGTTCGCGTACACGCATCTTCTCATCTTTCTTTTTTTCACTATTGCCACCTCGCAATTATTTCCTTTCGGCTTGCAGCTCGCTGGCAAGAACAAGGGAATCCGCAGGGTTCAATCACCGCGCGGCGAGCCTTTCCGGAAGGTTTAAATTGAAGTAATTAAAATCTGAGTGCAAAGAACGGGGCGGGGGTCAGAAAGTTGGCTATTGTCAGCGGTGAGCGTGCGCCTTGTTAAATTTCTCGGTCGAGCGCAAGTCTCTATTTCAAGCGGAGCGAAACGGATGGCCAATGGCCAATGATGACGCGATCCGTCTTTCTTCCGCTTCCGCGGTTTCCTCCTCTTGCTCGTTTCCCTCCGTCGACTTTTTCGGTGCCTGCACCTCTTTTGCTTCCTTTTTAGAACCCCTCTCCTTCGCGTCTCCTCGTCTCATCGCGTCGCCTCGTCCCTTTATCCCTTCGTCCTTCTTCCCGTGGACACTATCTCATGGGAAATCCCTCGAGAAGGTAGCATAAAGAGCGACGCAACTAACGTGTATAAAAGAGACTTGATACGGATGATTTTCAGGGAAAATCTTCCTAGACCTTTTTAAACTTTTTAAAATTTAATTAACTAATTTGGTCTCTACGGGTCACGTTTTTCGATGCACGAACATAGCTTTCAGTTATGCGCGAAAAAAGATGAGACGTCTCTTTGTCTCGCTCGGATTTTAAGTAGCTCCGACGTTAAGACGGTGATTCTATGACGTATCCCCGCTGTCGCGGCCAGAAGGCAACAAAACAGCCGGCACTGCGTTCACGGCTACATTTCCAATATTCTCTGACGTCTCGTTTGCATTATGTCGCTCGCGGAATTATTGACATCGACAACGGGGACGATTCGTTCGCGGTCAAAGGAATCGGTTTGGATTGACATCGGATCGTGTTATTTGCTATTTATTATCGTCCGCGTTGAAAGCACCCGCCGCTCGTTTTCATTTCGCAAAGTAGGCGAGCGAACGTCGTTAATCATCGTCCTCTCCAATGGAAAAAGAAAATTAAGTATATTCCAACTTGGCGAATTCTATATTCACTTTCCTGTTATTGTTCGTAGATGTTTTATACTGGCTGCGGTATTTCATTATCAAATAGCATAATTTGTTAAAACATTTTAATACTTGGACAAAGATGGATTTGCTTAATAACGAGACACTGAATACACGAGAACAGACGGTTTAAAAGGACGAAAGAGTTACATGACATCTTCTCCGTTGACCGCCACCCTCAGACTCTCAATTTGAGCGATGTCCAGCTCTAAATGAGCGAACGTTTCGTCCTCCTCGATCTGTCTCAGATCCTTGATATCCATTAACGCGATTTTCCTCAAAGCATTCGGCGGCGATACCTGTAACGTAAGTGGATGATAAGAGGATTCTGGGTGCGTAAGTAGATAATGGTCTAATAGGCGCACGACAAGCTACAGGACAATAATTATTCACTTTCAAGTATCGTAAGCCGTATCAAACGGTCGAAGCGTGAACAAATATTTTCAATACGTAAGATACCGTAAAACAAAAATATGCTACAAAATTCGTATGATCAACCTATTGTTGGAAACAACAATTAAAAACTGAGAGTCGAGTTTCTGCTATCCCTAACGAATCATAAAGCTGATTTTGGCTATTCTGCAGAATCTACGCAGAGACGTCATGCCGGTTAATAATGCAGTTACCTCCGGATGCTGTTGAAGCCATTCTACAAAGCCCAGCACGCTCCTCAAGTGCGTAATATCTTTCCAAACTACTTCCATCGTCTCAATATCCTTCGGCACGTTCTCGCATCGTAACCATCTATTCTCGACCTGATTATTGGGTGGCACGAATCGAAGCTTCCAGGGTATCGCGGTGCCGAACGCTTTTATTTTCGCCGGCGTCCTTTCCGCTTTCACGTCCTTCATCACGTGTTTCTTCGTCATGTTAAGCTTGCCCGCTTCGGGACAGTTCCTCGTTAAGGCTACTTCGGCGGGGACCACTGGCATCTCCTGGATCAATACCTATTTAACAAAAAAGGAGCAAAAGGAGGAGGTGAGAACAACGAATAAAGTATTCAGATGCAATTAAGCAGGACAGCTGAGCAAACTTTTTCACCAGCCTCGAGAAAGGAAAGAAAATCCGTCGCACCTCGAAGCGCGCTGCTCAAAGCAATTAGAGTCCGGTCTCCGATATTTAGCAATTAAGCATCCGAATTAAATATTCGATTGCATGTGCTGCGAGCGAGTCGCTTTACATCGGTAAACGTTGAATAGATTGAAAAATAGATTCAAGGAGTGACACGCGAAACACGACCATTATAATTATATACATTTAGTATTTAGATTTATCTTTAACCTGCATCGCTCTGCAAGCTTCCGCGCTGAAATCGATTTCGAACATGTCCCGGAGAACTTGCTCGTCAATTGCGTTATCCGTTCCGCCTAGAGTTTCGACCCACTGGCAAAAGTCCTGGCATATCCTCTTCATCGAGTTGTCGGCTCTCATTTCAAGGGTGGCATCCGGATCGTAACCCTCGAGATCGCGTTTCGTCAATTGACGCCAAGTAACGACCTGACGGCGCAAAATACGCTTACCTTTATATTCCATCTTTATGTATCCTTCCTTTAGGATCGTTAGGGTATTATTATTCTATCACTATGAATCCGATATCGTACCTTGCGTCTCGGTTTCACCAGAAATAGAGCGTAAGGATTGTATCTACGATGACCTACTTTCCCCTTTTTCCTTGGCGATTCGGTATCCGTCAGCGTCGGTGGATGCACCTTAATTGATGATTATAAAAAAGAGGCTACCTTTAAAGAGACGAACTCAAGTGGAGCAACTTGTTAAAGTATAAATAGCAAGTTGGTATCGTAAAAGCCACAGTGATATCCTCGATCTGGAGATGAAAAAGGAATACGAGTACCTCTAAACTGTCAAACGGGGATGAAGCCTCCTCTTCGACGCTTTCTCTGTGATACACCTGACTTTCCTCATCTCTGCGTTTCTTTTTCTCCTCGATTTCCGGCATCCCGAGCACAGGAGCAACGAGATTGTACGTTTTCAGGGGAAAGATTCGTCTCAGGAGTCGGGGATTGCAGGGAGGTGGCTGATTCGTGGAGAAAACCAAGTTAGAGGGAAATATATCGGCATGCAAATAACGTTTAGAATCGACTAACAATCTAGTCAATCTCACGATCCTGTCGTGTTTTACTAAATCGTCGCTCTTAGCTTGATTCAAAAGACGTTCCGAAAATTCTTTGCACAATGCTTCCAGCATGTCCAACGGCGAAGCGTTCGAAGCTGCGAGGCTCCATAAAATTTCCAAGACCTCATTCATACGCGTGAGCGGTAATTTCGTGTCCTCGATTCCCGAGAAATCGTACGAAGTTTTTGTAAAATCATCGTCGCGAGTCGTCTTCAATTCACGTAACGCATCCTTTGACGCGTCCGATTTGTTAGAGACGGTGTCCGTTGATACGGAAAATCTCGGGAAGCTGGCACCCTTCTTGAGAGAGTGTCGCTGCTTTTCTGTACGTGCTTTCGCTTCCTCGAGCGATGGTTTCCCCACGAAAGACTTGGCTTTCGTTAAAGGCTGCGGCCCGGCTCGTTTCATTCCCTCGTTCTCGGTTTTGTCTCTTTCGTAAACACCTTCGGGCACGGATCTCGGTTTCTCCATTACGTCGTCGTAATCGTCGACCGATACTCCTTTCTTCGAAGACGCCGATTCGAGAAGCTGGATTCGATCCTGCAGCGTCGTTGGTTTCCTGTTCCTCAATGCTCTCAGGTGCTCCAAACTGGGCCTAAAATTCGTGGGAGCGTGGCAAGGTACCAAATACTTGGGTTTCATCTGCTCGTCGCCGATCGAAACGGCGGTCGATTCGTCCTCGTCTACGCTCTCGCTATGAAACGTGGATGGTAGCTTCATTCGTTGCAGAAGCAAAACTTTAGTAGAACTTATTGCTGTGGGATTGTTAAGGATCGTCGAAGTTGTGACATCGGCTTGCTGATCCCTTTCAGTTTTCTTCATAATCGTTTCATGTACGAACCCTGATTCCAGGATACTCTTCTGTTCTGACATTTCTGTCTGTCCGTGTTTTTCTTGAAACGAACAGTCAACTTGCGTACAGAGTCGAGTCGCGGAAAAGCAGGATTTCTCATCAAACGTGATGTTTTTCGTTTTCACTTCGCGACATAAAATTCTCTCTACTTCGTTTTTAAAGTTCGGTACGATAGCTGAAGTAGAGTCGCTGTCCTCGGATGAATCTTCTTCATAATCTTGACGTAAATCCACAGTGTCCTCTATAATTCTTCGCAAGACGGTTCTGGGTAAAGATGTTTTTCGTTCCAAAGGAATTTCAAACGGTTTGTACATACAACGAAGGCATCTGTCACAGTTTTTTCTCGGATAGCTGGATAATTCTGGAATCGATGATAAAATCTGACTCGAGGAACTCCTCCAATCATCTGGATACATGAATTTAGGACTGGGTCCTGAAGTCGAACGCGACGAAGTGAAAATAGTCCGCGATTCTGTCTCATTGGACTTCACACTCGAACATTCATTAGGTTCTATAATATTTTCTTCAATAATCTTAATTTTTACAGAATCTTTTGTTTCATCGCATGATGATGATGAATCAGTACTCGATTTAAAAACCCGTTTCTGTTGCAAATAGTCGATAGTACCAAATTTAAAATTCGGATTTCTCTTTCTTATTAAACGTTTCAACGTTTTCTGAGCAAAATGAGCGGAGTACTTCAAAAATTCATCATCTGTTATTTCCTTTTGGTTTTCTGTCCTGATTTGATTCTCTATTCTCTCTTTAGGTTTTGTTTCGGAAATTTGACGTCGATCTCTGATCTTGGAATTCTTCTCCTCTAGGACTCTCAACTCGTCCTGTAATTTCTTTAGAGTTAATTGAAGATCTAACGTTTTAGGAATGTTCGTTTCAATATACGGCAAAGACGGCGAACTTTCGCCTTGTACTTCAGCTCCATTTTGAACATTGAAAGGAGCACGAATATCATCCACTTTGCGATAGCGTATACCCCTGGAACTGGGTTGAGGATCGGAAGTATCTAATTTTGGGATTCGTACAACTTTAGGCGATGCAAGATTGCACTTTGTATCCAGAATTTTTGGTCCATCTAAAAGTGCAACCTTCAGTGCCGATTTCTTTTTGATGTCATAATTCGATTTAGATTTCGACTTTGCAGGGAGCAATTTGTGCAAAGAATTACTCGATACTTTACAATTATTTGTGTAATTCGATTGAATATGCGAAGCACTATTTCCGTCAGCTATGTTATTGTTCTGAATGCCTAAATTAACGTTATAAAGTAATTGAGAATCATTTTTGGAAGAGGAATGGTAAGGTAATCGAAGGAAAGGATTTCTTACTACAATCAATTTCTTCTCCTCATCGTCACAGAATTTCTCCCAATACTCCTTCGATTTTTTAACGGGATATTCCCATCTGTCGACGAACGAATCTCTTAAAATTCATAAATCTGTTTCTTCAAGATCCACGTACATACTTTTTGCCACGAATTCTCTTGCATTCTGTCCTGCACTCCGGTCTGCACACCGATGTACATAAACTACTCATGGTCGCAAGAATTTAAGGGAAATATGCGTTCACGTTAATACCACATAAAATGTTTGTAAACAATTTTATTTTCTACGACCGCATCGTGACATCTGTGAGCTTCGTTACCCGCGCCTGATGTTTCGACTATCGATCAAACAAATTTCAACAGAGTTCAGGACCTGCGTACGCATGCACCGAGAACAACCCCTATGATAGGGGTTGCTTCGGCGAGAAGGGAGAAACGAGGATACCGTACGAAGATAGGTACCTTGAAATTCCTGTCTGATCAATGAACGGTTTAACGCTACCAGGTGCAGTAATAGCAGATTTTCTACGAATTCTTATCCTTAATAACATTCCTATCCGAGACTTGAACTAAATCTGAGATTCTTCAGCTGTTAATTAAATTAATTACATTGATAGAAAAATAAAGAAGGAATTACTTATTTCATTGTCAATTAATATATTCGTTTATGCATGATACATATAAATTATAATTAAATATTAAAAATAAATTATATTAAAAGATGATTCACGATCGGTCTTCTATCCGATATAGATAAAATATCTGCTAAATAAAATATTCATACTACCGAGGAGACGTTACGAGAGATTATTAAAGATTGATAGCACCGAAGTGGTATTAGATTTATTATTATTAAAGTCCCATATGACTGCTACCCTTTAGTAATCTCTCCTCGTTGTGCAAATTGAAAAAATACAACGCGTATTATTTTGCTCTTAAAAGTAAAACGCCAACAAAGTATAAGTGTAAACAATATTGAACATTGCAAGTGTGTGACCGATTTTTTTTAAAACAAGCCGGTTCGCGCGTTGCGTCACGTTCACCATTGTACGCCCTCTTGTCGCAGCGCGTCGCCACCTCACTAGCTGCCGAGCCATGGCCGGAGTCGGTAACTGAAAGTGTTCGCGGCGCGTACGTTTTCAACTTTTCGCGTTCGTTCCTACGAAAGAAGTTTGCGTTTTTCTTAATATCCCTCGTCGTTCCGTTACTTAGTTAGTTAATACTTTACGCGAGAGTACAGTCTTGGTTTTGCGAAACGTGTATAAGAAAATTGCGACATGTTCGAGGTTATTTTCCACTTTCGGAGTGCGCCAATGAATTGGGCCGTGTGTCGTGTCTCAAAGTCGCGCCATATTACATTTTCTTCGTTTCGGTAGTCTTTTATGGGAGTCTGCGGTGTTCGTTACGCGGTGAATTCACGGGAAATTCGTGATACGATGTTCTAGGTCTTTCGTTCATTTCTCGAGTTAACAAGCCGGTACGTGTTCGCGCTCGATTTCCGCAGGTCGCGTTGCGTCGTAAACAAGGTCATGAACGGAAATTCGGCGCGTTATACTCGTGGCGTGGTTTGATTTATTAAAAGGACCCCTCGGGTCAAGTTTCGCCGAAATCCGTCGCGTATTTAATACATATGCAATCGTGTGCGCGTTACTTAAGTATCTACGTCAGTAGTGTCTCGTCCTGTGCAAATGGAAACGTCAAAGTTGCGGTCATCGTAGTTTCGGAGTTTCTGGAATGGCAACTACGTATTCCATTGGAGTGGTGCTGATCGTGGCCAACGAGAATGGTAAGTACATGTCACTGATGACACATGATGTTTCCAATCGACTCGAATCTAATTATATTATATTAATAGTCGATTGATATTATAAATATCAATAATAACTTTAATAGCATTCATCCGATAAATGTGAAAAAGTTTTACTTCAT